GTCAGCTAAACTCATATCATTGTGGGAAAATTCTACTACCAGTCCTTCATCACCTTACACGAAATAGGGCTAATACATCTCATTAATAAGTATTATAATCGACTGCTATAGAAAATATAACTTCGCTTCATCGATAATCCAGAGAATGCAATACGAGAAAATACCTGGGTTTTCTTGAAATTAACATCATCCCTGTGGCCTAAGGGCGCTCGAAGTAATGAGGTGTAGTGGTTAAAATTTTGAGATTATACGTTGCATTTTCATGATTCGAGTCCAGGTGTGGGTGTTACAGAGACATAGGCGATATCAAAACTGCAATCCACTTTTGCAGGCTATATAAAATTCAATGGAAATGTAAGGTCACATATAACAATGTGAGAAATTTCAACTACCAGTCTCCTTGTTACCTTGAACGAAAAAGGATGAATACACTTTATATATTTTTTGAGGTAGGAATTATGTTATCAGAACTGACCACATAGCTCCTATTGATGACGACCAAGGTCAGGATTAGTCAGCAACTTCAACAATAAATTAGTAAAATAGAAAAGATAACTTTAGGTAAATTAACTCGTAATTCACAACAAAATAAGATTTTTATCTTTTCAGTATAGCAATTTTCAATCAGGTCAGCAAAGGTTTTAGTAAAATCTGCTTCGATATAATTCTGAATTGAAAAGCAGAAAAGTTAAAGATTAATGACAGACTGAAAGCTCTTAATATGCCATAACAAAAAAATGTGATCAGGTGCTGCAATGTCGAAATTTGCAAGAGTTTGATTAACAGCTTCATTCTGATAAAAATTAATTCGAATTAACAATTTGCTTGGTCGGGCTGATACTATTCTAAATATAAAATTGTCTTAAGGTCGAGCAAAAGGGCTCAGCATTTTTTACGGTGCAAATCCTGCTAGTAATCGGTGTACTCATGATTGTAATGGAGATTTTAATGTATTAAGGACCAGCAGTCCAAATTGTGCTTGATAATAGGGTAAGTTCAATGATGCTGATCTAGTTCCCTTGAAACCCCTCAGTCTTTGTCTGAGGTGACTACGACTGAGTAAAAAGTTAGTGAAGAGAGTGTGGCTTAGCTGT